AAATGGTCTGGTCTGGAGTTGGCCTCATTGCTCATCCAACATTCTTATTGTGTATTTTTGGGAGGATACCCTAACATTAACCCTCTGAGTTTGCCCTAACCCTAACTCCAGTATTTGTGAGGATACTGGAGTGCTTTCCCCCTATTTCCCCCCAGGGGCTTCAATAGCCAAGAGTCCTGAATGGTGAAGATTCATTACTCAGATTTATCTCCACTGACATATGACCAAGGGTCTTGTTAAAGGCTCAGATGAACGGGCCAATACCCCTGATGTTGTGAGAATCTCATAAAACACATCAATCACGCACGTTTTGGACCTGGTTGTTTCAGCGCTTTATCGGGGTGCTGCTGGTGCACTGTGCTTGAACACAACACCCCACTCCTCAGTCTCGGTTTTTATCAACATCGGAGCTAACAAAAGAAAGTGTCTCTGTGTCATTACATTTCTCAGAGCTCCAGGGCAGCTGGAATTTCCCCTCTGAAAGATCCATCATCCTCCTCTGATTTATTTTATAGCAGGGTATCGTGTTCGTTCCCTGGCATGGAGGGTCAGGTTCCCAGGTGTCAGAAAAAAAAAACAACATAAACAACACGCCGGGACGCAGGGGATGAAATATCGAGACCTCAGCCTGAGATAAGACAGCTCCGCCGCAGTAAATATCCCACAGCACGTCTTTATCATGTCCGCCTAATGGAAACCTGTCACCCTGTGGAAACCGTGCTCTCAGAATAGGTGAAGGTGGAAATCTCTCAAGTAGATTTTCGCTGAATGCGGGAAACGGTGAAGTTTTTGGCTGAATCTCCGCTTTTTTGCTTGAATTGAAGAGTTCTGAGCATTAAACATTTCAGAGCTTAGCATCCAGGTTAGCTGGCATGGAACACCTGTTATCAACATCATTACCAGGGAACTCTCTGTTAGGCAGTAGTGAAAAATTGTCTCCAGGTGCAACTGCTCCAGAGACTTTTATCCCCTTTGTCACAAAAGTTTTTGGTGAAAAATGAAAGGACTTTGTTTCTGAACATAGTGCTGGCTAATATTTTCCTAATGACTGTACTGTCTGGTTGCACATGCCTTTTGTGATATAACCTGCAGTGTCTTATTTTTACTATCTTACTGTATGAGTTGCGCAAAGGATATCCACATGCAAGCATAATAAAGTAATATTAACTTGGTAACATAAAGTGTTTGAGAAATTCTGAGATTTTGAGGATCACACGTTGGTTACATAGACCCTTGTCATTCTGTCCAATGACAAGCCTTATGAGTTCTCTGACAGACAGATGACGAACCAATGATTGAACACTGAAATGTTTCAGCCCACAGCAGTGTGTTTTTTGATTAGCTGGTTGGGTCAGTATGGAAACACATCCCTTGTCTGGGTTAAGCACAATAAAAGCAAGGTAATACATTTGATACCTAAACTGGAGTTGACAGATATGCAGGTAAGATTATCCTCTAAAGCCCGAAATACTGTGCCTTTTGCAACACAAAAATGATGAAGAGGGATCAAGTGCTCTTAAAGGCTGGTGCCAATTGCTATAAAGAGTAAATGCAGTGTTTATAGCAATTTATGCTTGGTGCCTTTCAGTCAGTCCAGTCATGTTAAATGTCTGAAGGGACCCAGAAAGCACTTCCAGCATCACCTTTTCTTATTTTTTTCTCCAGAGGCCGATTTGAACATCATTTGGACTGTATATCCTCACCCTCAGGAACATCTTGTTATGGTACAGTAGATAGCACTGCCTTTGATATTGGAGACCATGGAGGTGTCTGTGGAGAAAAGGGGCCGTTGTGTGCTCCCTCAGATGACCTCGATACCTGGCACTGTTACTGACTCTGAAGAGGTGCAGAAATGATCAAAAACATGCTCAGCTTACAGCTTGAATCCTGCTCTCCTTTCTAAAGTGGAGGATGACAGGTTAACATTAGGAGTTACACAAAGGTCAGAGTTCAACAGGGTTGGGCCCATATTTACCATATGACTTCAGTGCCTGGCCTTATGATTTCATTTGGCATGTGGTGTTTTTTTAAGGTTATTTACTACAGGTGAGTGTGAAACCAAGCCAGAGTGACCCACTATACTGAAAATATCTACTCCGCATGACCACATCAATCAAGCAAGTCATTGATGCCATGGGATAGTTCCACCCACTGCGGGGGTTCACAAGTTTTCACTTTCAGATCACCAGTATTGAAAACCAAAAATCCAGAAAATATGCTGGAATGTGCGGCAGGAGTTTCTGAAAGTTTTGTACGTAAGACATTCACATAAAGTGTAAATGACAAACTGGTATTGTACAAAGTTATGTGGAGATTACAACCACTGAGCCATGAGCCAAGAATCAGGACGTCAAGCTCCTCTGATGAGCCATTGGTATGAGTTTGATTTGTCTGCCATCTAACCATGTCAACATTCATTTTTCAAAGGAAATTAAAGGTGTCCCCGGGCAACGTTCTTTAGCTGCGGATTAGTCTGAAGGGTGGGTACAATAAACGCTAAAAAAAAAAAAGCGTGGATTTTCTTTTCCCAGATCTGTGACGGACTTTGATCTTGTTTTTGTTTTCTGTGCGTGTGCAGTCGAACAGATTTGCGCCTGTCAACACAAACTGCGTCCGACCCCCCCCACCCCGCCTGTTTTTCTCCAGCTTTTCTTTCGTGACACGTCTGTACCGTGACATGCATTTATTGTGGTGAGTGTGTCACTGTTGTTTTTGTTCCCTTTTGATGTGCAGACACAGCACTGTGTTCAGGAACGAGTTTTCATCCGCACGCGGCCGCCCGGCTCCACACCTCCGTTTCCAGCTGAATTCACAAAGACTTAACACAGACGCTTTTGGTTTCCCCTCAAACGCTGTCAGTTACTAATTACTGTTAAATTACTGTTAAACACGCATGACTAATAGGAACTTGTAATGAATAGTGTTTTTTTTCTGGTAGAAAAGCAGTCATGACTTATTTCAACATTAACCACAGAGAAAGTGTTGAGTTGGACAAAACAAGGATAAGTGAATTGGCTTTGCCAGGTTGATTTGAACATGCTTGGTACTGCATGGCCCACCTAATTATTTCCCTGTGTTTTATGCTCTCATAGATTCACACGAGGTGATTTTCAGTTGCGCTTCAAATAGGCTGCTTAGGCCGATAAGCTTTAGGCCTAAATCTCAGGAACATTTAGAAATCACAGTTACAGTTTGTAGGATTATAATCACAAGACCAATAAACAAAAGCAAACAGGCTGAATTAACTCTTGAATGAATCAAAATAACAGCGTGCATGAACAATTATTTTCAGAGCGCTTTAGAACTATTTTCTTAATGCGTTGAGTACAACTGATGTAGCTTAATCATCCTTAACAATAACAGCATGATAGAATCTGTCTCTTTTAATGAATTAAACTGCAAAGCTGCAAGTGAGTCTTTCAGAAGTGTTTTCGTATCCCAGTTCATCGTTTTCACTTTTAAGGATGCCCCATTTATCCTATAAGTATCACCATCACCAAAAAGTTCAAACCCTCGCTGTGTTTCCCCTGCATAACATCACCTGGTAATGAGATCCCTTTTTAACTTTCATTTCCAGCTCGCTGATGCTGTTTGAAAGCCATGGAAACCTGTTACTATATGCCACTATTTCAGATTGCTTAGATAAAGGGAATGTAAAAAAACACACACACACAGAACCAGTGTAGGTTATCAGATGATCAAAACAGGAGTGATCCTCGGCTTTCCCGACCAGGGAATTTCCTCTCATTTAAATCACCACAGAGGCGGCTGTGTTCTGGTCCGCGGCCCACGTTTGAAGTCCCCCCCACATCAGGGATTGTTTACTCGACTGCAGGTCATGGCAACCGCATCCAGCGCTGTGTTAGCCCCCCTCTCTCCCTCTCTCAAAAAGATCGCTTTCAGAGAAGGTGACGCAACACAACACACATTCACAACTGAGGAAGCAGAGTGTGTGCGTGCGTGCGTGTGTGTGTGTGTGTGTGTGTGTGTGTGTGTGTGTGTGTGTGTGTGTGTGTGTGTGTGTGTGTGTGTGTGTGTTTGGTTGAGCAGCCAAGAAGCTGTTTCCTTTCCTGTTTTTTCTTTCATTAGTTGATAATTTCATTTTACCAGAAGTATTACAATCATCAGTTTTGAGAACCTACTCAATAATGTCTCAAAGCCATTGCTACCTTTCTAGTATCAATGTGTGTTGGGAAAATGGATATTTATACATTATATTCGACTAATTACCAAGGAAACCACTTAATGACCCTCACAGTAAATCATAAATCACAGTTATTGTCAGACGTCCTCTGTGGCTAACCCCGAAATAGCCACACCTGCGAGGTGATGTATCGCTCTAAACGGGAAGCATTAGATGGAGCAGCGGTTTCTCACCCTGCATGGAGTCTTTTATTGCCTGGTGCGGCATATCCATCCAGGTCTGAGAAAGCTCTGACTCCAACGCAGCCTCCACCCCCTCTCCCCCCCCCCCAACCCCTCCCCACCCCACCCCCCCATGCGCCAGGGCCTGCCACGTCTTGCCCTGTTATTTATCTGACGTCTGGATGTGAGAGTTTTAATGGCTGATTTACGCCCCGGCAGGTGGGTCCCCGGCGTTTGATATCCGCGCTGTGATCTCATAAAAGGAGATGACTGCAGGCAGCAGCAGAGCAAAGGGAGCCGGGTGCTCGGGATTTCACCTAACGGGGCATGGGGGGGGGTACATGGGGGAGGGGGGGTGGGACGTGGGATGACACATGGATCATGGAGAGCTTTGGAGCTTCAGATGATGTAAGGGCAAGGCTGTGTCACAGGTCTTTTCAAGAATCTTCTGGAATAAGTGGCATCAGTAAATACATTGCAAGTCTTTGCATTTGATTTACATCACATTATTGGCATTTTGGAGATGCTCTTAACCAGAGCGACTGACATAGGTTACAGTTCTATCCATTCATACAGCTGGATATTTATGGAGGCAGCTGTTAGTTTAAGTTTCTTGACCAAAGGTACAGAATCGGTGCCCCAGAAGAGAATCGAACCAGCAACCTCCTGGTTACGAGCCCTGATCCTTACCACTATGGTACACAACCTCCCACTCAGACCTTGAAAGATCATCATTCAGAAATTATTATTGATAAAGCGGTGGCATTAATCTCTCCATACTGATATGAATTGGGAAGTTGGCATCATTGCATCGTTATTTGGTATCATTACGGATTTGTCCTGATTGGTGAAACCCACCTGCATTGTACATGAAACCCGAATGACAACAGAAACTGTCATAGCTGGTTCTATTTTCTCATACAGATATGGTATATGAGTGTGTACAAGGCTGGATAGGATAGCAAAGCTGTGTTTTATCTGAGAAAAAGGCAATTGCATGTTGAGTTGGACAACCTCAATAATTAAGAGTGCAAATGTGCTGTTTTTAGTCCATGGCTATTGCTTAATTCAATGCTCAACCCAGAAGGCTACATTTTTACATGATGACCACTGTCTTCAGCTTTAACACAACAGGTCTGGAACATTCTGGATTCAGGGCTCAACATTCATAAAGCCTGCTTCCTATTCTTAAAGGCGAAGGTGTGGTGGAGCCAGCTGAAAACATAAAACATCAGCCATCCTGGAACAACACACGGCCGAGCACAAAACTTCCAGGCTGTTATGTCATTACTTGTTTAGCAATCAAAACATAATTTGCTTTTATTCATTTCCCAAGTTCTCCTTCACTTGCATTGCACTGCATTCACATGCATTGCAATACATGCTCTAAGAGAGATATGATAATATGATAATAATGTATTAACACTAATGTTCGTGCACAGTCCCTGCTATTCACACAATATGTATGAACACCATCATGAATACCGTTCCTTCATAAGACCGGACTAACACAACTGTTGTTTCATTCAGGCAACGCAGTCAAAGTCACACGCCCGAGCCATCGGATGGTATTTTCAAGTGAAACCGAGTGAGTCTGATGAGCGCAGAGGAATATTGACGGTCCCTCTGTGGTGAAATGGATTCTCATTTAGTTAAAATCATTACTCAATCATGAGACAGATAGGCAAAAGGCCCGGCCACTCGAAGGGAAAGGACAGGCCATCGGTCATGGGCGGAGTCAGGGCCTCCCTGTCCCTCCACTGCTGCTTCTCAGAGATCAAGAGCAGACGGAATTCTGAGAATTCCACCATTCCATCAATAGATGGCTGCAGGGAATCGATCAGCAGAAGTGTGGCATTAGGGACCCATTCAATATGCATGGATTTGCATTCTCTCTGGTCCAATAGGAGAGAGAGCACTTGCTAAATCCTCCTTTTACTTGAGGAGGATGTATACTTTGCGAAATCTTAAGGCTATAATAACCATAGTAAATTTAATAATTAGCAGCAGAGTGGTGTGGCAGTAAGGAGCAGGGCTGGTAACCAAAAAGATCACCAGTTCGATTCCCTGCTGGGGCACAGCTGTTGTACCCTTGGTCAATGTACTTAACTTAACTATTGCCTCAGTAAGTATGCAGCTGTATAAATGGATACATTTGCAAACTACTGTATGTAAGACCCTCTGGATAAGAAGGTCTGCTAAGTGACAATAATTTAATATGATAACTAGTAGCAGTTTTTCATCTAAAAGTTTTTTTATTGAAGAGATGGGCAACTGGTAAAACAGTGAGAAAATGTATGGGTTACAGACTGCAGTGACCAGTGAGTCTGGGGAGTTATGGGGTGCAGCTTTTGCATCTTTAAGCAAGGCAGTCAGCCTGACCTGCTTCAGTGGACACCCAGCTGTATAAAGCAATGATGTGCGAAAATCTGAGCTGTGATTCCACACCTAAGGTAAGAGAGTACGCTAAATCACAAATGCTCTAGAGCATTTTAAAACAATGCTTTACTGAAATGCCTTCCCAAGACAGCAGATCCTTAAGAGGTCTCTAACTTGGGGAAAAGCACTGGATGCATGACCTCACTCATTAACAGTAACGGATGCCTTTTTGAGTATTAGTAATCTAAAAGGGAATTGTGGGTCGTCTCTACTGCATTGACATTCCGTGTCCAAAGGAAGTCACGTCAATCGGACCTGGAATGAGAAAAGAGTCCTCTGAGAATATGGTGATAACCTCTCCTCATCACCGAGCATTGCTTAAAGCTGGAAGTAATGGCTTTCCAAACGTAAAACCCAAGTGACTGAAAGCAAGCCTCAGCAGAGGTGCTGAGCTGGTCATAGCAAGATCACTCACAGTGCACAATTTACATGTTTCTAGAATATCCAGCTAAACATTCTGCAGTTCCTAGTATACTGTTATCATTTCTAAATAGTGGAAATAAGAAGCAACTAAAGTGGTTCTATAAAAAAATGTGATGGTGTTTGGCTGGACATTCAAAGCACCCCGATAATGTAGGATTTATTACTGGCTGGTTTATCCAATCGAACACTTTTCACTTTTATTTACATTACATTATTGTCATGTAGCAGACACTCTTATTCAGAGTGACTTAGAATTACTTTTTTACATGCTATCCATTTAGACAGCTGGATATTTACTGCGGCAGCTGTGGGTAAAGTATCTTTCCTAAGGGTACAACAGCAGTGCCCAAAACAGTAACCTTTTGGTTACGAGCTCTTCTCATTACCACTATGCCACACCGCTGCTCATACAAACACAGCTTCAACAACTACAATGGTTGCCTCCAAATCCTGCTATTAGATATTGAAAATGTGTGACGAATGGCACCATACATTTAGCTCTGATCCCTATAGTGTTGTAATCTACAAATAAAATACATGTTTCTGATGAGGAGTGCTTAAATACTCCAAGTCTCCCTACAAGCACGCAATAAACATTTGAGGACATGCAGGAACACTTTTGCTCTCAAGTTCTTCCAGCCTGGAAGCTAGCCAGGCAGGTTAATCTCTCACTAGGTACTGAGAGTAAAATGAGTTCAGTCGGAGTGTTAGAGCAGGAACACAGACGTGACAGGCTATGTGATGAAGTTCTCTCCTGTTGATTCTTCATCTTAATCTCTCGCTCTCTCTCTCCCTCCCTCCTGCTTGCTGCTTTATCGGTTTGTTATTTTACCTGGACGTCCAGGTGTGGAAGGGTGAGACTCTGAGAGGAAGAAAAAAAAACATCCGCTTGGAAAAGCCTGTCATTAAGGAATCTGCCGCCCGGTCTAAACATGACGGTACCAATGACAAACAGGCTGGCAATGTTCCACCTGATCTATGAGCAACAAAGAGCCAACAGGCCCTCTCATGGGCAGTAACCACACACACTGCGCCTGGTGTTTCTGCACTCCTGCAAGCTTTGTCATCTTTCCGATAGACACGTCCCGTTTATTTTTGGGTTTCCCCTCATGTCCAGATCATATGAAGATAATTTTGGGGATTTGAACAAAAAAAAAGAAATCTGTGTTCAAGCAAATACTTGACATTGCAGTGTAAGCTTGTTTCTACTGATGTCCGTGCCTTCGTCTTTTGAACTTCTGTGTTAAATTACAGGGGCAATTGGTAAAGCTGCTCACTTGCATTAACTCTTTGATATGTCATCTACCCTCATACTCCCTTTTATGCATCAGTTTGTTTTCCCGTCTGATTGCAACTGCAGAAAGCTCGATTCACACTCAGCTTTGTTCAGCATGAAAGAGCAATGCAGTTTTAGACCTTTTAGCAATGTTTTGAGCACATTGTAACACATTGTAGAGGAAAAATACTATCAATTCAAGCTGCTCCTCAGTTTGAATATTGTGGATTCTGCACAACAGAATTCAATATACAGTGTTCTCCAAGTAGGTCATAATGCCATACTTTCCACCTCTGACATAATTGTTGACACGAATATGTTATGTCTAAATGTAAGGCATTTTTGTTTTGTTTTGCACACAAATTTATACAGTAGAACTGAAAACAAACTTGTACATATGTAGTCCCACTGCTTCCTGAATCTTACAATACAGAGCGAATGGCTTTGTTATGGCCAATATAATTAACATCAATATGCAAGAAATTGGTTGAGTTTCGCTATTTCCTAAAATGGTGTACATGGTGTAAACACATTCTTACTTAAGCTACTGCAATAAGGGCTAAGCTGCTTAGTACCAATGAGTTGAGTTCCTACTCCACATCAATAAAAATTAAATCACCACAATTCACAGAAAAATATTAAATTTCATATTGTCATTACAATAAGTCATTGTCATAGTGTAAATATTTACCCTTATTCTTATGTAACAGAAGGCCTTGGCTTGAATTGTGGAATTGTCTAAAATCTATTTTCCATATGTCTTCATATACTTTGTTTCAGTGCAGTACATTTTATCCCACCCAGTTTTATATTCTCTGATATGTAATTGCCCAGCTTGGTTTGAATTGGTGTACAAATTTTAGATACCTATGTACAATTACTATGTAAAACTGTAAGGTGTTTCATCAGGACATTATAGCAGTGAGCACAACTTAATGATCATAGCGGTTGACAGCGCCCCCCCTCAACCCCCCCTGCCCCCCCCTGCCCCCCCTCCCAGCTCTCCCTGTGTTTCCCCACAGGTTAGAGATCAGAGAGGCAGGTGGGGGAGGGGGGGCACTAACACACAAGGGGAAAACACCTGTACTGCTGAGGTGGACCACAGACAGACTGCCTGCACCTGTGTCTGACCCCCCCCCACTTCACTTACACACACACACAGTCACACATGCACATAGGATCACACACACATACACACACAGTCACACGCAGTCTCACACAGTCAGACACACACACACACACACACACACACACACACAAACACACACACACAAACACACACACTGATCATGTCTAAGGAGGGCATTAAAGGTAGTGGCATGGATGAAGAAATGAAGTATTTTCTCTACAGTAGCAGTGCAGAGTACCTGGCAGGGCAATACCCTCTGTTTCTCTCTCTGTCCCTGTCTCTGGCTGGGCAAGTCATTAAAAAACACCCACACTCTTAAACAACAGTCAGAGTAACAAAGAGCAGTTCAGGCCATTGTTGAATTAGGCCATCAAACATGTGACCTCCAACATGTCACTGATGTCAGCACAAAGCAAGACAATTATGGAGAGAATTCCCTC